AGTATGGCCTACTTTACCAATGTCTTTCTTTAACTCTTACCATGTTAAAACAAATAGGATGGTGCTTTCCATCCTGGGATCCTGAAATAGTTTCAGAATCAAACAGAAATATTCATAATGTGATTAATGTACTTTGATCATTGTGTCGTGTGAAGACTTATCTCTTCATTAACATTAAAAAATGTTAGTGGTGCCCTGAGGTAAGACTTCCTCTGGATTGCACCTTCTCTATTTTCCGTTCTCATGGTGCAGCAGTGGGACACCCACTATCATCTCTATGAAGAGACCCAGCAAAAGGGTTTCATCCTGCTCTACCTATTGGTACATCTCTGTGGTGGTATAATTACCCTTATGTGAGGCATATTATCTATAAAAAGGAAAAAGAAGCTGTCAACAACAAGCTTATTTTCCCCTCGGCATGTCTTCCACATCTCTGAGAAATTGCTTCCAGGCAGTGGGGTGAAAGTGAATGACATCTATCCGAGCAGACGCAGAGATCTCAAGGCCAACTGATGCGGAAGATCCCTTGTCCTCATACAACCAGATTTTTGGTATTTTATATCCCGAGTGTCATGTTGGGTGAGAGAAAGACCTTCGTGTCTGCTGACATCATAAGTTATTGATCTGAGGTGGGATTCCCTCAGGTAATATGTCTTTCTGGGATATTAAACCTAATCAAATGTTCCTCGTTCTGTGCACAGCTTGAACAAGTTAGGTACGGCTGTCCTGATTCAACATTTGGATCAATGAAGCGAGACGTTTGACTTCATTGGACTGTATGATGAAAGGCATAAATATAAAATATGTTGTTATGTGATTGTACCACGTCACAGCAGTTTAGGACATGTAGCCTGGTTAGGAAAAGTCGTTGTCTATTGTGCAAACCAAATGCAAATTGTGCCTATAGTAGTAGTAGAAGTAATAATAATAATAATAATGTTATATGTAATATGGTTAAAATATGGTTGTTATTATTAATGCACACTACATGTATTTAGATTGATCGCAAAATTCTCTCTCTCTATCTCTCTCTCTCTCTCTCTCTCTCTCTCTCTCAAATTCAAATTCAAATTCAAATGAGCTTTATTGGCATGACTTGCACAGTATTGCCAAAGCATTGTCCATTACATGAATAAGGAATAAACAAGCATTTAATACATAAACAAAACAAGAATAGATCTGTAAAATAATTAAGTAAATAAGTACATGTATACTTTCTTTTTTTTCCACAAAGAAGAAAAATATTTAAGAAAAAAAACTTTGCACAACAGTACAACATGTAAGAAATTATCTTGCTTCAGTTTTGTCCACTGGCTGACAGTCTTAGTTTGTGACAGGCTGATACATATCGTGCTGCTGTTGTGATCATTTTGGAACTTTCCCCTAAAATGTCACTTAATTTTTCTGCATTTGGTAATGCCATCAAATTTGGTTTAATTTGTTGGAATTTGGTGAAATATGCAGCTCTAATGTTGTGATAGTAATCACAGTGTGGTAAGAAATGTTCCTCTGTTTCCACCTCTTTCTGTGAGCACAGTGAACACAGTCTCTGTTCTCGTGGCTGCCATCTTTGTCTGTGCCGTCCTCTCTCTATAGCCAGACAGTGATCACTCTGTCTGTATTTTGTAAGTGTCTTTCTTAATTTGTGATCTTTTACACAGCTCAGGTATTCATTGTTCCATCACAGTTCCATCTTCTTTTGTATTTTAGTTGCTTCTTTTCAATAGGCAATGTAATTTTGTTTTTGTAACTGTGTGATTTGGTTGGGCCGGATAGTGCTGTGCTTGTTTGGGTGCAGCTGTAAAAGGGCGCTCTTCTGCAGATTCTGCTCCTTCCACTGCAGGGCTTCAGTCTGGTAAGAGCTCGGATCACTGCATTTCAGGTGCTGGTGGAATTTCAGACCTCTCTTTTGAATATTAATTAATAATGGGTATTGTCCTAATTCAGCTCTGCACGAGTTGTTTGGGGTTGCTCTGTTAACTTTTAAGATGCTTTTACAAATTTGGGTATGCATAATTTCAATTTCTTCTTTTTCCCATTTAGAGAAATCTTGGGTTTTTAGAGGTCCCCGTATCTCACTGCCATATAGTGCAATTGGTTTGATTATTGCTTTTAGGATTTTTAGCCAGGTTTGAATTGGAATTTCAAATTGAATTGTATTTTTGATCATGTAGAAGACTCTCAGTGCCTTTGCTTTCAGTTCATTCACAGCCAGATTGAAGTTCCCTGTTGAGCTGATTTTTAGTCCCAGATAGCTGTATTCATGGGTGTGTTGGAGGACCTGGTTTCCCGCTCTGAAAGTGTGTTTATTTTCCTTACACCTGGGTCTCTTTTGAAAAATCATTATTTTTGTTTTTGCGAGGTTGATTTTAAGAGCCCATGTTTGACTGAATGTCTCTATGATGTCGAGGAGCTGTTGTAGTCCCTCTTTTGTTTTTGACAGAATGACTAAATCATCTGCATAGAGGAGACATCTGATTTCTGATTCAGTTAGGGTTGGGCCGGGGGCAGTCGAATTGTTTAATTCTTTGGCTAATTCATGTTGTGATAGTAATCACAGTGCAGTAAGAAATGTTCCTCTGTTTCCAGCTCTTTCTGTGAGCACAGTGAACACAGTCTCTGTTCTCGTGGCTGCCATCTTTGTCTGTGCCGTCCTCTCTCTATAGCCAGACAGTGATCACTCTGTCTGTATTTTGTAAGTGTCTTTCTTAATTTGTGATCTTTTACACAGCTCAGGTATTCATTGTTCCATCACAGTTCCATCTTCTTTTGTATTTTAGTTGCTTCTTTTCAATAGGCAATGTAATTTTGTTTTTGTAACTGTGTGATTTGGTTGGGCCGGATAGTGCTGTGCTTGTTTGGGTGCAGCTGTAAAAGGGCGCTCTTCTGCAGATTCTGCTCCTTCCACTGCAGGGCTTCAGTCTGGTAAGAGCTCGGATCACTGCATTTCAGGTGCTGGTGGAATTTCAGACCTCTCTTTTGAATATTAATTAATAATGGGTATTGTCCTAATTCAGCTCTGCAGGAGTTGTTGGGGTTGCTCTGTTAACTTTTAAAGATGTTTTTACAAATTTGGGTATGCATAATTTCAATTTCTTCTTTTTCCCATTTAGAGAAATCTTGGGTTTTTAGAGGTCCCCGTATCTCACTGCCATATAGTGCAATTGGTTTGATTATTGCTTTTAGGATTTTTAGCCAGGTTTGAATTGGAATTTCATACTGAATTGTATTTTTTGATCATGTAGAAGACTCTCAGTGCCTTTGCTTTCAGTTCATTTACAGCCAGATTGAAGTTTCCTGTTGAGCTGATTTTTAGTCCCAGATAGGTGTATTCATGGGTGTGTTGGAGGACCTGGTTTCCTGCTTTGAAAGTGTATTTATTTTCACCATTACACCTGGGTCTCTTTTGAAAAATCATTATTTTTGTTTTTGTTAGATTTATTTTAAGAGCCCATGTTTGACTGAATGTCTCTATTATGTCGAGGAACTGCTAGTTTAATAATATATTAGAATGAATGAATGATATTTTATGATATTATACAGTAAGGTGCATTGGCTTACAACTGCTAGTTTAATCAGTAAGTTTACCCACCTGTAGAGTAACAAACATTACAATGCCCACAGAAAAAGCCTATGTATTTTGAGAACATTTGCGAGCAAATGACTGTCATGCCTATGTTCAGTGAAGTTCACGCTTTTAGACATTATTGTAAGTTGTTTGTTGTGTAAGTTCAAAATTCATCTTTATATTATATATAAATAAATATATATGCTTAGGGGGCAGTCGTGGCCTAATGGATAGCGAGTCGGACCCAAAGGTCGCGGGTTCGAGTCTCAGGTCCGGCAGGAATTGTCAGTGGGGGGAGTGAATAACCAGTGCTCTCTCCACCCTCAATACCACGACTGAGGTGAAACCCTTGAGCAAAGCACTGAACCTCCAACTGCCCCCCGGCCGCCGCAGCCAGGGTGTCGTGTGTGTGCACTTGGATGGCTTTAAATGCAGAGCACAAATTCTGAGTATGGTACACCACACGTCACTTCACTTTTACTCACTTTCAATATATATAGAGAGATTGAACCTCTTCATGTTGCCATAGTTTTTAGTCAAGCACTCATTTAAAACTGTATAAATAAATAAATGCATACATACGTACATACATATATACATAAACAAACATTTCCTGTGTTTTTGGCAAAATGAGACAGATTTTAATGAATATGCAAAGCCAAGTTGGCATACGTATTGTCGAGTATTGCTTGCATGTATTTATTTACAATATGAAAGCCTTCAGTGCAGGTTACAGGTTAAGATAACTGAAAAACACGATCAGTGACCACCAAGATTATCCACAGGAGAAGACTTTTCTGGTCACGAACTGTGCTTCTCCTGTCATTTGACCAGCAGCCCTGCAAAGATTCAGAGTTGCGGATGTTATTTTTATTTATGCTTTTGAAATAATCATATTTCTGGAACAGTGTGTCAGCAGTGTAAAAGAACATTAAAATGACCTAAATTAGGGCACCTACAATAACCACACTTGTGAACATTACCGTCCATCACTGTGGACTTTCCTGCCTTTTCACATGCACATGAATGCACAGTACACAGTACATGAGCGGAGAGTGAACTGGATCGCGATTGGCCGAGAGGAGAGATGATGCTCTGCTTCCTGCTCTATATAAACTCCCTGTTCCCTCACTGCAGACACACTGCTGATAAATTTCACCTAGAGATCTCACTGCGCAATGGATATTTATTTCCCTTCTGGCTTTCCAATGTGTAGAGGAATAACAGGGCTCTCAAACAATTGCCTAGAAAGGTACGATCCTCATATTGACATTTTAAAGGATTTTATGTGCTTTTTATATTTTATACAAATCATTTGAAGGCTTAAACGTAAACCTCTACTCTTTTATATAACATCAGTAGGGGCTTTTAATCTTATAAGAACTGTGTATATTTCAAAAGTGTACATATGTTGTGTATTAAATAAATGCTTTTCTAACATCAGGGCCAAAAGATTAAAGGCATGCGTAGGTGGATTTCTGCAGAGACAAGACTTGAGCAGCCTATGTAAATATAGAAAACCAAGGTAAGTACAGTTATTGAATGCACTGGCTTTTGCCTATTTCATAACGTGTTTCTTTTTGCACGATAAAGCGTGTTTAGTTTTAAACGGTTTCTTCTCTGACTGGCTTACATCTTTGCAGGTTGACCTTGGAGGAATGTCTGATGTGGAAACAGTCTTTTGAGAAGCTTCTGTCCAGCAAACGTAAGTCCACACTGAAAAAAAAAAAATCACTCAATTGCTAATAATTTCACAAATAAGTACTAATATATTGTAAGTGTGAAATTTTGAAGCAGAAAGACTTTTTTCTCGTAAAATGTACTCCAACAATCTTTGATAATCAACTCTGAAATATATATATTTGGGTTTTTTTTCATTGTGTACTAAAGATGACCCCATTTTATGTTTAAAAACGTTATGAGGTAAACCAAATCATTATAATTAAATGATGAATATAATGTAGAAAAATTATAACATCAAGTAAAAATCAGCCTCAGTAATGACGTACATTAAAAAACATTTGGAGTACGATTTACTTGGAAAAAATTCCCTTCCATTGCTAGCAAATTTCACAAATAACAACAAAGAAATGGCAATTAATGTGAAAGACTGAAATAGTTTTCTTATAAAACATACTCCACAAAGTTTTATTTACAGCTTTGAATTTAGAGTTCAGCCTAAATTTAGAGTTAGGTTTACATTTAGATGCTAGAAATAGGACTGCAGTGCACAGATGTGTCTGTCCTGCTGTCTGATCTGTGTGGGGGGCTTTAATCTGATGAGACACGTTACACAACTAATCTCTTCTCTTACCCCATGTTTCGCTCTCTATCAGATGGACTATATGCCTTCAGAGCTTTCCTGGTATCTGAGTTTAGTGAAGAAAACATTGCTTTCTACCTGGCCTGTGAGGACTACAAAAGGACAAAGTCTGCAGCTAAGATGCCATCCAAAGCCAAGAGGATCTACGAGGAGTTTATCGGAAGTGAAGCTCCTAGAGAGGTAAATATACATAATAAATCACCATATCCTGTGGTATCGTTCCTAAATTGCAGATGTTTGAACTCACTTCCTGTTCGCTTCCAGGTTAACATTGATTATGAGACCCGAGACATTACTCAAGCCAACTTGAAAAGCCCTACGGCATCCTGCTTCGATATGGCCCAGTATCGCATCTATATTCTCATGGAAAAGGACTGTCACCCACGATTCCTGCGCTCCGCTGCCTACCGAAATCTAGTCAACCAGCTCACAGTGAAGAGCGCTAAGGCAAGAAGCAAAAAGGCCATTGCGGCCAGACCACCAATTGAAGATGAAGAACCAAAATGAAAAATGTAGGTGCATTTTGGTTCTGCAAAAGGTGGAAGCTCGGGCAAGAAGTGGAAGGGACCGGTGCAGACCCTAACAAGGCTGATTGAGGCGGTCGGAGTGCCATGAAGAGATGAAGAGAACCGCATAACGAAATCAGAGTGACTGCATTCCCAGATCCCCTTAATAGTGGCCATGAGAGGGAACAGCAGAGCTGCTGGTGGAGAGAGATGCATCTGCACAAAAACCTGTACTCAACACAAAGGAGATACAGACTTTACTGAAGTACGCATGGGCTTAAAAGCACATAGCATACTTTCAAAAAGCAAATTATGTGTTTTGTAAAGTTTATAAAATGGAGAAAAGTGTTTGAATATTTAATGCATTAATTTATTCCTCCTTTGTTACAATAAATAACCCCTTACAAAAAGTATTGTGATGGTACCATGGTAAAGTGGTGGTATCTTATTTAAAAAAATAAATAAATCAATTGTATTTAATTTTATTTTATTTTTTTAAAGACACTGACAATCTGTCTGGACTGCTATAAGGCTTAAGAATGTTAAAAGTTGGTGTACTAGTATTTATTTTAAAGATTTTTTTATAAATGATTTTGTTAACTCAATTTTAAATTAAAGTGAATACAATTTTGCATTAAAGTGATAATGTGCTTTCATATCTTGTGTGTGTGCTTTTTTTTAGACTTACAGGTCAAACTGAAAGAAAAAAGCAGATATAGGTTATATATATTAGATGTTATAACGTTATAATTTTCACATTTTTATTAAATTATTAGTAAAAGTTTTAGTTTGAGTAAAATATGAGGCAACCAGCTGAAATAAAAAGGCTTTTTTTTTTTTTTTTACATTTTTATTTAGTTTCAGTTAATGTTTCTTTTCTTTTTTTTAGGTTTTAGTTTCAATTTTACTAGTTACTTTCTTAATAACCCTGGATTGTTCCTATTTTTATTTAATGTGAACAGAATAAAAATGTAAAGCCCAGATTTATCACAGATGCTTCACTATGAGATAAACAGGCTTGTTATGCACATGACTGGCCAGAACAAGCTTGTGTTTCATATTTAACCATCAACGCCCACAGGCAACGAACAGCTTCAAGTGTAGGTTTACACAGTTGCCAAGGCAACGGTTTGTACCCAGTTGCCAAAGCTGTCCACATGATTCTCTCAGCTCAAGATTAAGCCACATCATTCCTGCTGACAGTAATGAGAAAGTTCATCACCCAGTTCGAAACTCAAATACTGGAGTTCAGAAAGAGGAAATACATTTGATAACGTCTTTGCACGAGCAGCCATAAAGATTTGTTAGCTTTTGTATTTGTTTACACATGTAATGACATAAAGGGCCGTCGTTTGGTTAGTAAATCATGTCCTTGGTTGCTTTCACACTAGACTGTGCATTAAACTATATTGCACCGCATAGACAATAATCGCATGAATATTCTCATTAATCCACAAAAGCAATCACAATTTGTCCACAGAATATGATTCTACAACGAAACACATGGCAATGGCTGAATATTTTAATTTCATCAGCCAAATGGGGGCTAGAAGATGGTCCAGTAGATATACAGCATATAGTCAACGCAACATTAGAAGCGAGTATCTCATGCTTCTTGTCAGATGAAGGTCCTGTTGATTAAAGAGGGGCTACATGTACTTGAGTGTTGTGCTCTAGTAGTAATTTGATCTCAGACTTTGATTATAAAAAGATTAATGGGCTAAAACGTTATGCAAGAGTGGAGCAACAGTGGGGTTTACATTCAACAACAACAACAACAACAAAAACATTAAAAACCATGGAAATCAATTTCAATATGGTAACCATAATAAATAAATCACCTCATCATTATTTTGATTTATTATTTTAATGATTATTTTATTTTTAATTAATTTAACATATTTTGTATCAGGGTTATTTTCATTAAAACTAAAACTATGTACAAACACTTTATTACTCATTACTGGAATTAAAATGAACATTAACTAAAATTAAATAAGATATAATTTTAAAAAAATTAAACTTATTTTATTTCAGCTAGTTGCCAAGGAAATTTCTAATTTTTCTCGTTTCTCATTTTTGTTTAGTTTAAAATAACTAAAAATAAAAACTAAAACTTAATTAAATCTATATAGACATATTTAAAAATAATAATAATAATAAATAAATGAAAATTTAATAAACTTACTAAAACATTAGGTAAAATTCAAATGAAAACATAAACTAATTGAATCTAATCAAATTAAAAAATATTAATAAAAAATATAGTACAGTGTGTAAATTATATTAAAATGTGTGTGTATGTATTGCTTTGGGTAATATATAGGCCTATGTATATATACTGTATGTATGTATATACATATATGTATATGTATATACACACATATTCTTAATTGTTTTAGTTTTGTAATTGTTTTAGTTTATATATATATATATATACACACACATATACTAAAACTAAAACAATTAAGAATATGTGTACTAAATTATGATTTAGTAAATACTTTTATTTATATGTGTTATTTATGTATGAATGTATGCATGTATAAATATACACACACATATTCTTAATTGTTTTAGTTTTGTAATTGTTTTAGTTTATATATATATATATATATACACTAAAACAAAAACAATTAAGAATATGTATGTGTATATTTATATATACATACATACATTCATACATACATAACCTATACATATAAATAAAAGTATTTACTAAATTATAATATATTATTAATGGTTTTTTTTATTTATGTATGTGTATAATTGTGTGTGTATATCTACACATATATAAATAAATAAAACTAAATAAATAAATAAAAAATCTTATATTATAATGAATATAAGTGAACTTATCAGAGGTTTGCATGGGATATTTATATTAAACCCTTACATAATCTTTATGATTGCTAGACAAGCCTGTAACTAAATTATAATAATTAATGATTTTTTTTATTTATGTATGTGTATAATTGTGTGTGTATATCTACACATATATAAATAAATAAAACTAAATAAATAAATAAAAAATCTTATATTATAATGACTATAAGTGAACTTATCAGAGGTTTGCATGGGATATTTATATTAAACCCTTACATAATCTTTATGATTGCTAGACAAGCCTGTAAAAATAAAAAAATAAAAACTGTTCACTTTGCCCTTGAAGTAATGCCAAATGCATAAATGTAAATGCATTCATGAGGTTAATGCATTTAGATATGGCGATTTCCTCCTTTGACTTTTACAGCTGCACTTCATCATATTTGTCCTTTATAAGCATTGCTGAAGGTGTGATAGTCCGATCTACAAACGTAAGAGCCGAGAATTCATTCTGAATGACTGTGTGCCTGTGTATTTAATTCAATCCATAAACCTACCACCTTGTTCGTCAGAAGTGAGAGCCAGCATTAGCAAGTCCATTCACAGACTTACAGTGCATCCGACCTCAAAGCAAACTGTATCATGTTTGTTGGCCCACGTCTTCAAAAAAATAAAAATTGTTCACTTTGCCCTTGAAGTAATGCCAAATGCATAAATGTAAATGCATTCATGAGGTTAATGCATTCAGATATGGCGATTTCCTCCTTTGACTTTTACAGCTGCACTTCATCATATTTGTCCTTTATAAGCATTGCTGAAGGTGTGATAGTCCGATCTACAAACGTAAGAGCCGAGAATTCATTCTGAATGACTGTGTGCCTGTGTATTTAATTCAATCCATAAACCTACCACCTTGTTCGTCAGAAGTGAGAGCCAGCATTAGCAAGTCCATTCACAGACTTACAGTGCATCCGACCTCAAAGCAAACTGTATCATGTTTGTTGGCCCACGTCTTCAGAAATCTTCAATAAAACAGTGCGCATGGTGAGTCAGACAGTAGCATCAAGGTCAGTGCATGCATCCCCCACAACCATATGGATCCCTCACATACACAGCCTGATGCAGCAACGCCTCAATGCTAGGCCCTCATGAAGACTACAGAGAACACTGACACACTAGCAGCAGCAAGTGACAATATATTTCACCCTGAGGAAGCTTTTCCCACATATTTATCAATACATGCATTGCATGTCAATATGACATACTCTAAAGTTAGCACTTGGCTTAAATATATCCATTTGTATTTATTTGTACTTACAGGAAGTAGAGGAATTTGAATCCGCTTTATTTCCTGTTTGTAATTATTTATGAAACATTGCCTCCTAGTGGGAGATCAGCATCAAGACACCAACAGAATTGTTGCGTCAATTCCTGCAGTTTTATATAAAATACATAATTAAAGCAACATATATGAAACAGAGCATCACATCATCATCATGATCATCATCATCATTATTATTATTATTATTATTATTATTATTTATTAGTGCTATTAAAAGTGTGACATTTATTTTATTATTAGGGCTCTTACAGTTTTTTTTCCTTTGGTGCAATAACTTACCACTGCATAAATACACAGTTTTAGATAAATTATGTTTGAAATACACAATTATATTTATATTTATATACATCTTTATTTATGTGTTTATTTATTTGTGCTAGCGCTTTCATTATAGTTATAGTTATATACCTATACAAATACACTTTTTTCAACATTTTACCAAATTTTCACTTATGTTAGTACAAAACATAAACATACAAAACATATTCACTACACATGTTTTTCATCTGTAAAGTTATCATTCACAGTACAAAACTGCTTTTTATAATTCTATCACTATCACACTTTTATTTACAGCTTTTAACTGACCCTTCATCTGAAAAGGTCAGCTACTACAGTATCGATTCAGAGAACATTTATTGTATTGACAGTATCTGTTCTAACACAAAACCTTATGGCCGTCTCATAACATCATAACACACTGAATAGATACTATTACAAATATTAGTTTAAGTCAGTTACATAAGTTGTGTGATGTAAGTATATTTTCATGATAGCTGTAGCTTGTATTATTATAACATCTTTAATTAATTTAAATGTCCTCATATTAAAAAGATCTTGTGTTTTGAAACAATGATTATGTGGATTGAAAATATATATATAATTTTGATAATTTTGATAATTGATAATTTTGTGGATTTTTGCAGGATTTTGAAAATGTACACCTTTCATGCAAAATAGTACCAAAGTGTGGGGGAAAGCATGACATATAAGATTCTTATACACTGCAAAAACAAAAATATGTATTAAAAAAAAAAAAAAAAAGGCCACAATGTACTGTACTAAAATGAAGAAATTTTCCAATATTGATTTTTACAGGTGTTTTACCTGCATTTTACACTTTACTGTGTTTTACAATTATTAGAAATATCCATAAAATTAATGAATAATGTCCTGACAGAAAATTACCAATACATTTTCCTTATTTTATGCAAAGGGTTCAGTACCCATGAAGCACAGATTTCAGCATCCTGGTCACTTTCTCCTTTTATTTTATATAACATTTATTTTGCATGTCCTTGGTAGCATCTCATTCTCATTCATTCGTTTTTTAAAAAGTGTGTCAGCAGAGGGCAGCATCTTCCAAAGAAAGACCGCAGTATCACAGCATGACAGTAATTTATTAATAATTAGGGGGCACTCATGAGCCAACATGCCATGAACACAAAATGTTGTAAGCATATTCAAAAGCTGCTGAAGATCTGCAACCCTTTATTGATATTTGATCAGAATTTTTCTCTTTTGTTCTTTTTTTTTAACCTTTACTTGTTTCTGCTCCATAATCGCGTCTGAAATATAAACTGACAGCATGAAAGAATTGATTGAACATGCCTATGACACTCTAGGAACCTTGTCAAAGGAATGCAATCACTCTTTTGATACAACCTCAGATGACCCTTTGAGAGCAGGACATAGAGGGACACTGTGACCACACGCTGAGAAACACATTCCCTTGGTGCTGATAAAAAGGAGAAGCTATTCCAGGAAGATGTTACATATCAGGCACTGTTCGTCCCATCATGACACTTGTGTTTATGACAGAGACGTTCAGCCACTGGATCTAAGTCATTTGTTCCTTCTATCCTGTCTGCATCATCAAAAATATTCAGGCTGGTTGAGAATAAACTGAGCATTTTATGGCAGGCTAACTGTAAACTCTATATGTATTACCAGTTCACTTTTTAAATTCATTCACAGTTAATTTATATTGTAATCAAACTAATATTTAAGGGTCATCCCTCTGATGCTTTGCACTCCATGCGTGGGAAAAGGCCCGCTGCTGTTCCCCTCTGAAAAGCAAAAACTGTTCGGTCCATTGACCTTGTTCCTCAAGGCTTTGGAGCTTCTGTCTCCTGTGAATTGGAGCTTTCACAGTCAGCCTTATGCATCAGCTGCCATTTCTCATTTCTGTTATGTCATCACTGTTGTCATGGGAATTTTAAATATTTTAAATAATATTTTTTATAAATATTTGTGGACTTCTAAACCATTTTATGTATTTTATTTGGGCTGGGATTTCTTTATTTCCACAAATAGTTCAGTGTGGGTATTCCCTCTTTACCCTGCTGGACTTCCCAGTATGGGACAGTGCTGTCCTGATGCCCCAAACAGGCCTTTTGGTCCACCAGCACTAAAAAGCATATGGAAATTCATCCTGATCAGCAGGATTTTCATAGTGACGGCAGGGGGGATTCAATTCAATATTACTTCTGTACCCATCCACAACTTTGTGTAATAACTGATTTCATACTGCGCTTGGAAATTGTGCCCAAAAGTGGAAAAAAGGCCCAAGATGTGAAACAGTATACAGATGCATTCAAGATGTTGGTAGCCTTTCAAACCCTGAGGGGTGCAGTTCTGTCTCCATTACTGAATGCAACCTAAATAATGTCATTCTAGGCTGCCATTTCCACATAGTATTTATTACCTCACCTTTTTTCTTACCTGAGAAAAACACTCAGATGACCACACAGTACAGCACACAACACGCTGTTCATCAGAACTGGTCCAGAAACTTTTGACAACAAGGAATGTTCAACCTGTTTTGGCCTCAGGCAGCATAATTGAGAACACATGCTGTTTGAAAAACAACGGCTTTAAAGACATGCTTCATCATTATAATGGTAGCATGAAACACTTGAGTCCTGCATTTATTTGATCCAAAGTACAGCAAAACAGTAACATTTTGAAATATTTTTACTAGGCTATTTTAAATAACTGTTTTCTATTTGAATATATTTTAAAATGTAATTTATAGTGATTTCAAAGCTCAATTTTTTGCATCATTACTCCAGTCACACTATCACTATTAGAAATCATTCTAATATGCTGATTTGCTGCTCAAAAAACATTAATTCTTTTGAAACACTTGAGTGTTTTCAAGTGGAGCTGTACGAGCAGAGGGTGAAATCTCACGTATGCGGGAGAAATCACATCTTAGACTCGTCATTAGGCTTTAGACTGCATGATTATAATTGAAAAAAAAGTCAACAAAGCATAGTATTTCTCTAGCATTAACAACTGTAGCTTTGTCATTTAAAGGAATAGTTCACCCAAAATTAAACTGATGGAAGTTTACTCTCAGGCCAGGGGCGCGGGGGACGTGTCCCCCCCCACTTTTAATATCACGTAAATTCGTCCCCCGCACTTTTTGCACTTTTTGTGTTCGCATAGTCCCCCTCACTTCTGAAATGATGGCTACGCCCCTGTCTCAGGCCATACAAGATGTAGATGAGTTTGTTTCTTCATCAGATTAGATTTGGAGAAGTTTAGCATTACATCACTTGCTCACCAATGGATCCTCTGTACTGAATGGGTGCCGTCAGAATGAGAGTCCAAAAAGCTGATAATAATGTTACAGTAATTCACAAAAAAACGTTGCTTCCAGCTAAAATAAGTCCTCTATCCATAACATTACTTCCTCCAATGAAACAGTTGTCTCATCAGAAATATGCACAGATCAAGCACTGTTTACAAGCCAGAACAGTCCAAAACGGTTCTAAACAAATATTTTAGTGGATTTTGATGTGAGAGGACAACAGGGGATAAACGGTTTTAAGTTAGAATGCCTTAATGATGTTTTTTTCTTTCTTTTACAAACAGCATTTCACTCTTTCACTGCAGAGGATCCATTGGTGAGCAGGTGATGCAATGATAAATTTCCCCATATCTGTTCTGATGAAGAAACAAACTCCTTTACATCTTGGATGGCTTAAGGGTAAGGACATTTTCAGCAAATGTAAATTTTTGGGGTGAACTATTCCATTAACACTGAACAATTGCACAAATTACTTTTAAATGATTCATTAAATTGCTCTGACAGTCGTGTAATTAATGCACAATTTCCTGGATGTACTGTATGTGCATATTTTTCTCTAGACATTAATCATAGGTCATATGTGATCACCAAAATGCCATTATACAAATAAAAATGTCTGGCTAAATGTAGTCTATTCCCCATTTCCTTCCCATTTCAGCCAAAGATTGTAGATTAGGAAGGT